CGGGGGGCCGCAGAGGCCATGCTGTCCAGCTGCTGGCTGCTGCCCTGGGCCAGGCCAAGGTGACCAGGGCCGTGCTGCCCAGCCAGCAGCTGTTGCCCTGAACATTGCCAGGGTGGCAGGGGCTTTGTTGCCCAGCTTGCAGCTGCTTTGCAGCTCTCCGGGGTTGGAGAGGAGATATAGGTGTCTCTCACTTGCTGGCTGTCCCTCTGTGGTCATTCTGCAGCATAAGGGTATGTCTACACTAACAAGTTTTGTTAACAAAACCAGGGCCGTGCTGCCCAGCCAGCAGCTGTTGCCCTGAACATTGCCAGGGTGGCAGGGGCTTTGTTGCCCAGCTTGCAGCTGCTTTGCAGCTCTCCGGGGTTGGAGAGGAGATATAGGTGTCTCTCACTTGCTGGCTGTCCCTCTGTGGTCATTCTGCAGCATAAGGGTATGTCTACACTAACAAGTTTTGTTAACAAAACATATGTCGACACCCAAAAATCAATTTTTGTTTTGAAGGTGTTCACACTTGCTTCCTCTATTAACAGATCACGTCTACATTGGGAGCACCATCACTGACAGTGTGAGCAGTACACTGTGGGTATGTATTAGGGATGTTAGAGTATAGTCATTTAAATGATTAACTGATAATCCAGTCATCGGTTTATCCTAGCAATTATACGCACTCACCACCACCTTGCCTCTGTACCTCTGACAGAGGCAGAAGTGCGGAAGGTGAGGGGGTAAGCAGGAGCTGGTACACGCGGGAAGCTGGCTTTCAAACCGCCTTCCCCCCTTTGCTGCCGCCTATAGAGGTATGGGGAAGGCACAGGCAGGATGTCAGAGCAGCCTCTGTTCACGGTGGGCCCAGGCTCGCCACGGACAGAGGCTGCTCCATGGGATGCAGGGGCAGCCTCTGTCCGCAAGGAGCTGGGCAAAGGCTTTTGCTGCCCCACACTGCTTCCTCTGCATCAAAACCAGCTCCCCACGTGGACTGATTCCTGCCTGCCACCACATGCTTGTACCTCTGTATCAGAGGCAGAAGCGTAGGGTGCCAGGGGACTCCGGGGGAGTGGGGCTAAGAGAACACTGGCTGGTGGCTCCAGCTCTGGCCCCACCCCCAGGAACCATTGAATAATTGTGTAACCACTAAGATTTGGTGCACTTACATGATTATTAAATTAAACAATATCTAACATCCCTAGTATGTATCCCACAGTGTATTATTGTGGGAAGGCAGAGCTGCTGATCCCTGCGCATGTTAGGATTCCCTCTGAGTTCTCCCACAGCATTCTCAACTGCTAGGAACAGAATCATGAGAAGTTCTGTGACTGAGGAAAGTCAAAGCAGCACAGCATATTTCTCTCCCCCCTCCCACTATGTTCTTAACACAAGGCAGAACAAGAGCATTGTAATAATTTGTTCTTTGTTTGTTCCCCAAAAGAAACAGCTCACTCAGCTGTCAGATGCTTTCCAGAACTTTGAGAGGGGAGAGGTGTTTGCCTGCAACGCAGAATAGATCAAAATACTGAGCAGAACCATCAGGGCAAGCATTGTGGGATACTGGCAGATGCTAGTTCTGTCGACAGAACAGAGTCTACACTGGCTTTTTGTCAACATTAAAGAGAGGAGGAAAAGAAAAAAGTCTCTCGTAAAGAGTGGAACTTTTTGGTGCTAAAACTGGGTGTTTTTCCCCACTGAGTGTCCCATTGCAGTATGAACGCTCTCACTGTCTTGTCACCAAAAGGCAGTTTTTGGCAACAAAACTTGGTAGTGTAGACAAAGCATAATGCTTCCTACTATTAAAGCCCTTCCTTTCCGTTTGATGAGAAACTATCGCATTCCACTCGCGTGCCATTGTTCTGACACAAACAAATCCTTACCTTTCTTTACATTATGAGGAGAGGAAGTTTCATATCAAATTTGATGGTCCTCTATCTTACCGTTTAGGAGAAGATCTTGAACAGACTCTCGGACAGATGGTCAGAGAGAGAGCTGCTCAAGCACTCTCAAATATACAGTAGATTATTAAACATATTACAAATTCCATTTAAAATTGTTGCCACTACTACAGAACCATGTAATCACATAATTAGTTTCAATTATTTTACTTGGGCTTTTAGTTGCAATTATTTTGTGCTACCTATGAGGCTGACATGTTCATCTGAATGAAAACAGGCTCAGCTGTATTAAATTATCTATTTTCACAGAATAAAGAAACAGCAGTGCTTGCTAACTCTATTCAGCCTCGTTCCTTGGGCAACCCTCAAGTTTAGCATACCCAGCATAGGTTCTGGCTCCTTGGCACTCAGAACACAACAGATTCATTAGAGTCACCTACCCAGATGACAGCCAAAGCTGTGACTCTCTCTAGTGTCAAAACTGACACAGACCTACGACTTTGAATCATAAAGTAATGAGCTCTATTTTATTACCGTTACACCTTCTTGAAACTGGAAATACCATTCCAGTGACAGACAGATAACATCCTGTGCTGCTTTGACATCCAGTGACATCCTGGCTAAAAAGCAGGGCTCAACAATTAATGTAATCTACTCACTCATGGCGAGTAGATTACAGCTGTGCAGCACGGTCTGCACATGCACAGCTTGCCAAACTGCGCGGCTTGCGAGCAGGGCTCGCTGCAGCTTGGCTAGCCCTGCTAATAAGCATTGATGGACCTATCCTCCATGAATTTATCTAGTTCTTTTTTGAACCCTGTTAAAGTCCTGATCTTCATAACATCCTCTGGGAAGGAGTTTCACAGGTTGACTCTGCACTTTGTGAAGAAAAACTTCCTTTTATTTGTTTTAAACCTGCTACCTACTATTTTCATTTGGTGACCCCTAGTTCTTGTTTTAAAAAAAACAAGTAAAGAACTTTTCCTTATTCACTTTATCCATAACAGTCGTGATTTTGTAGACCTCTATCATATCCTTCTTAGTGTCTTCTTCTCTAAAATGAAGAGTCTCAGTCTTTTTAATCCCTCTTCATATGATATCCATTCCAAATCCCTAATAATTTTGGTTGCTGTGAGGGTTTTGGGGTGCGATCACCCCCTCCCGGTCCGAGAGGGGGGGTCTGCGGACCCCTTTGGTCCTCCTTTTGTTCTGCGTTGTCCCTGGACCCCGACTCCGCTCACCCCGCCCCCGGGAGAGTGACAGCCGGCGGGGGCTCCGCTCCCCCCGCCCCTGGTCAGGGGCCGGCCCGTCACAGTTGCCCTTTTCTGAACTTTTTCCAATACCATGATAACTTTTTTGTGAGGATGACCACATCTGTACACAGTATTCTAGATGCGGACATACCAAGGTTTTATATAGAGGGAATAAGATATTCTCTGTCTTATTCTCTCTCTCTTTTTTAATGATTCCTAACATTTTGTTTGCTTTTTTAACAGATACGGCACATTGAGTGGATGTTTTCAGAGAACTAACCACAATAACGCCAAGATCTTGCTCAAGTGGTAATAACTCATTAAGACCCCATTTTTGTATATATAATTAGGATTATATTTTCCAATATGCATTGCTTTGCATTTATCAACATTAAAATTCATTTGCCATTTTGTTACTCAATCACTTAGTTTTGTGACATGCTTTTGAAGCTCTTCACAGTCTGTTTTGGTCTTAACTATTTTGATCAGCTTAGTATCATTTGCAAATTTTACCACCTCACTCTTTACCCCTTTCTCCAGATCATTTATTAATATGTTGAATAGGACTGGGCCCAGTACCGACCCCTATGGGACACCACTAGTTACTTCTCTCCATTTTGAAAAATGATCATTTATTTCTACCCTTTGTTTCCTTTTAGCCAATTATCAATACATGAGAGGACTTTCCCTCCTACCTCATGACAACTTAAGTAAAGTAAGAGCATTTAGTAAGGGATCTTGTCAAAGGCTTTCTGGAAATCTAAGTACAGTATATCCACTGGATCCCACTTGTCCACATGTTTGTTGATAGCCCCAGAGAACTCTAGGAGGGCATGATTTCCCTAGTAAGGCATGATTTCCCTTTACAGAAACTATGTTGACTTTTCCCCCAACAAATTATGTTCATGTATGTGTCTCACAATTTTATTCTTCACTATGATTTCAACTAATTTGCCCAGTAGTGATGTTAGACTTATTGGTCTATAATTGCCAGGATCACCTCTAGAGCTCTTTTTAAATATTGGCATCAATACATGTATTTTTTCCAGTCATTTGGTATAAAAGATGATTTAAAGGAGAGGTTAAAAACCAGAGTTAGCAGTTCTGCAATTTCACATTTGAGTTCTTTCAAAACTCTTGGGTGAATGCCATTTGGTCCTGGTGACTTGTTACTGTTTAGTTTATCAATTTGTTACAAAACCTCCTCAAATGACACCTTAATCTGGGACAGTTTCTCAGATTTGTCACCTAAAAAGAATGGCTTAGGTTTGAGAATCTCCCTAACATCCTCAGCAGTGAAGACCTATGCAAAGAATTCATTTAGTTTCTCCACAATGACTGTATCGTCCTTGAATGGTCCTTTAGTATCTCGAACATGCAGTGGCCCCACTGGTAGTTTAGCAGGCTTCCTGCTGCTGATGTACTTAGCAAAATATTTTGCTATTACTTTTTGAGTTTTTGGCTAGCTGTTCTTCAAAATTCCTTGTTGTCCTTCTTTATTATATTTTTACACTCCATTGGACAGATATTATGCTCCTTTCCAGGAGACTGGACTAGATGACTTATTGACTAGATCTCTTTCAATCCTACATTTCTATAAAACATTTTCCTCACTAACAATTATGACACAACAATCAAGATCAGCGAAAGAGTTTGAGAATAGCCCCTAGATTTTAACTGGTGGTATGGAAATAGATTAATCATATTACAGAGTACTTAATACTCAGCCATATGTCCAAGCCAGGGGCAAATGATCATCAGGGTATACCATAAGGCTCAGAAACAGGTTGTTGTCTAGAGGTATGGGTAGGAAAGGGAATTTAGAGAGAAGAGGCTTAGAGTAGTTTAAAAAAAAACAGTTGCAAGTTTTTTAGACGGTGTAAAAAAGTTCTCCAAATCTATTAACATATTTGAGAGAGTTTATCTGTGTTTGCTCAAGAACTTTTCCTAAACAGTATGAGTCAGGACCCCAAATTCAGTACAGTAAAACTCCATTAGTCTAGCATCCAATGCTCTGGCACTCCTGATGGTCTGGCACCATCAGAAACCCGGAAGTGTTCAGGGCAGCCGGACAAATGGAGCTGCTCTGCACCCGGCTTCCCCAATTCAGCCACTGCTGAAACTGACCAGCAGCTGACTCCAGGACTGAGAATTGCTTAAAGAAGCATATGTATTGCATATTTATTGTAAGTACAGTTCTCTGCATATTCTGTTGCGCATGCACAACAATATTATATAGTGTAAAACTAGAACCATTTTCTTTGGTCCAGTAAGAATTATCTTGTTCCACACCATTTTATTTAGCATTTAAGAGTAATGGTGTATTAAATTTGAATCCGAAGAATATATTCTTGAAATGTCATATGATGAAGTGTGTTCCATTATGAACATAGCCAGTTCACCGTAGCAGGATTTATGTAAAACTCAATTATCCTTTAAATAGAAGGGGCTGGGCTTTCAAAGGTCTGATTCTTTCTGGTTGTGCCAGAACAATAGGATATAGTTGGAATGGGATTGTTTCTCCTAAAATCAATCACCAGGAAAGTGAAAGGAGCTGTCAGGCGGTGCCTTCCCTCCTGTCCGGAACTTCCCCAGCTTCAAGCCTCCCTCCCCTGCAGCGCCCTTTAGGGAAGGTGGAGAGTGGGGCAGCCTCTCCCCACACCCCAGCAATGAATATGGGTACATTGCTGGAAGTTTTTCCTCATTCTGGCTGCAAAGTGCAGGAGGCAGACAAACCAGGACCTGCCCCACAGCCAAGGGACATGCACCCCTTCCCCCGCGGTGTCTGCTGGAGCTGCAATGTCCATGGAGAGGCACTTCTCACTTAGCCCCAAGCTGCTGTAGTCCTCTCTCCCCAGGGCAGCCTGCCCCATCTCAGAGCAATGATTCAAATGAAGCATGTACATTTTCATTTTATTCCACACCCCCAAATAAAAATGAGTTAAGAACCCAAGCAATGCCAGGTAAATCTTCTAGTATTACATATAAAAATAAAGCATAATATTATTCAGAAGTTTCTTTCAACCTTCTTACACTGTTTAGTTCTTATTTCCCATTATCAAACTGCCTTTGATTTATCTATCACTCAATGAATATTTTTATCAAAGGAGAAGTGTAATGAGGGGAGAAGAAGCCAGGGAGGAAAGAAACATCTGTTATTAATGAAGTTGCATTGGAATGGGACTTTGGCTAGGCACATTTTCTCTTACTGTGTAACGCTGAAGATACTTTTCACTAAGCCCTGTTAGATTTTCTTCCATTGTGATTAGTTAATGTACTACTAGCCATTGTCTAAAAGGTAGTTGAGCATGCATGCTATAAATTACTCTTCAAAACCAGACACTCTCTAATGCCAAGAAAGTATAATTAACCTTAAAGCAAAAAAGGAACAAATCAAAGAAAACATGTTTTTAAATATGCATGATTTTTTTTCCCAAAATGCACTTTAAAATGCATTTACCTTTTCCTTGAGTTTGTTAGGTTCTACTAGATTTTAGTATGCTAACAAGAAGTATAATACTGTGTGGCTGGATTATGAAATTGAATGCCTTTAGGACATTTTAAATCTGAACACTGTCACACAAATGTAAAAAAATCAGAATAAAGAAATGCAGCTTTTCATGGTCATTACAATGAAATTCAGGATTAAGGACTCAAACATGTTGTGAAAATATTATACCTAATTTTTTTCTCCAAAGTTAAATATTTTACTTATTTTCCCAAAATTACATAATTTAAAAAAAACCACAAAACACAGGCGAAGGTATCAGCCTTCTTTATGAAGAACATGTCTTTTGAAGAAGTCAAGGTCCTAGTGTCCTTTTGGAACTGAAATACAAATTGCTAAAAGAAATACTAACCCCAAAACTGAAGAGAACAATGTGAAAGAGTTTAGTTCAGAGCTGGCTATACACATCTGTACACATGTCTTACTTATTTAGCACACAAATGTGGTCAAGAAGTTGCACGTACATAGAATAAGAGAGATGCAGAAGTGTAGCCAGTTAATCAATAAGCTTGATACTTACTGGTTTTATTAATGGTTAAACTGTGTCTGGAATCCTGGCTGCTGGTCCACCATGCAGCTGGACTGGCAACCAGGACACTAGGTGTACCAGAATGCTGGGACCACAGGCCGCAGCAGCACTGTAAAAGCAGCAGCATCTGAGACCCCGGGATTCCAGCCATGCCCATGTATAAAATAGGGGTGCTGTCACAGCCCTAGCTCCCTGATTAAACATTTAATTGTGTAACCAATATAATTTTAATCAGTTACATGGTTATTAATTTTCATAACAGTTGCATACACACATTAAGGGACAAGATAGTTCATTATACTACATAATTTTTAGATTCAAAATTCAAGTACAGCATTCTTATCACTTTTTCCTGTCACATAAAACAGCAGTTCCCAGCAGCAGTCCGCTACTCACTGGTTACTAGGCTGCAGTGGCTGCCAGAACTCAAACTGGCTGTTCAAGGTAGCTCAGCTCTGGCAGCCATGGTGGCTGAGGCTCAGCAGCAGGAGGTGCCTTCCTCCCTCCTCCATGCTTGAGGAAGGACAGGGGATTCGAAGGAGGGAGCACGTGCACTGCCAACAGATGCTCCCCTTGCTCACGTGGCCGCTTGTGCAGGTGGTGGCACCAGGGCTGAGGCGGCGGCAGAAGAGGGTGGAGTAAGAAGTGCCTCACTCTATCCTCCCCCCTTCAATAATGGCAGCCGGCTGGAGCTCCGCGCTCTGCTCGCGCGGATGCTTTTGCCGGCAGCAGCACTGAGGTGATGGCAGGAGGAGGCGCCTCCTTCCTCAGTAATGGGGGCCTGGACAGCGCTCCTTATCCCTAACCCCACCCGTGGGGGAACAAGACACGCTTGGGGAAGTAGGAGGTATGAAGGAGCATGCATGCTGCCAACGGTCGCTCCCCTAGTCCGCATGGCAGTAACAGCCACGCTCTCTAGGGGGCAATCTCGCTCTGGGGAGTGTTGGGTGAGGGTGTAGTGGAGTCACATGGCAAAAGGGTGTTGGCATGGGCTATAGAAGTCAGAGGTTAAAGGATCAAACAGCATGGGGAGTAGATGTGGGGGTCAAAAGGAGTTAGGCACTAGGGACCAAGGGACTGGGTTTGGCCTACGCAACCAGGTATTTGCATAATGAATATGAAAGACAGGCAAATAAAATGTTGCTGGTCCACCAGAAGTTTGTGAATTGGTTTGCCAGTCACCAGCATAAAAAAGGTTGGGAAATACTGATATAAAAAAAAACCTGATGGATACTTCAATACTCAAAGAAGCATACACCCATAACTGAAACTGAAGTAGTAATATGTAACTCCCCCAAAAGTTGAATGCCTTTTCTTTAGAGCTCAAAAATACACTGGTTATTGTACTAAGAACAGTTACATTAATATTCTAGCAGTGCCTTAACAGAACAGTTAAAGGAATAAACTTCTTTAGTTACTGTGATAACAGAAAACAGTTAAGTAATTTGCCAAGGTGCAGTGGGGAAAGATAGGTAAAAACAGACATTTATTCCTGCAGTACCTGCAAACGAATGGTCATGTCCTGACAGCAGTTGCTCATTGCCTGAACATCTTCATTTATACTTTCAAGCTCCTAAGAATAGAAGAAGATTGGTAGTTTATTTTATTGGTATGTATTTTTAAATAGTAATTCTATATCAAGTCCACAGTTTGAATCTATCTACATAAGTTTTAAAAATGCTAATATGCATGATTTATCTATGTTTCATCAATAGTTCCCCTTCCTCACCTTCTAAGAAGTGATTTAGTCCAGTTTTCTTCTTAGATGTACTTTTCCTAGATTTGTTTAATTTCACTCAGTGGGACTATCAGTAAGGAATTTAGGAATAGACACACAAAATTGCCATTTTATTTTCCAAGAAGCAGCAGGCATTCTATCTTCCATGATGCATCAGCATCTGTACAGAGTATTCAGTTCACTGCGATTCCTGTACTAGTCAGCAAAATATGAAGGACCTTTTATTACTACAGAACAAACCTTGCCCTGCTTTCGTTCTCCAGTGCCCATCTATCACACTAATACTTTTTTTAATTGTAGTATAGAACTCTTTGGTCTGGAAACATCCGTCGTCCGGAATTATTTCAATTAACCAAATGTCCACTTTTCATGGATGTGGCCAAGTTCCCACATTCCCATAAAGTTCGTTTACAACCACAGGTCCTAGCTCTCAGTGTTCTGTGCTGTTATTTAGCCCTAATTTACTCCTAAATGTCCTCTAGCAGCCCAGTAAACAGTGAAAGCGTTGGTAATGCTGTTAGATAATATTGATCTCCCGTGGCCCAGAAAATTCTCTCATTCAGAACAGGTCAGGTCCCAAGGGTGCCAAACTAGAGAGGTTCAACCTGTACTGAGTAAAGAGCATCTGTTTTGCTTAGTCTTAGGGAAGACACTTTCAGTTACCATATATGTAATAGTGGTCGATTAATCGATAAGCAAAAGCTCATGCAAGGTCTGGGACCTATACCTGCTGTGGCTCTGCATTTAAAATGTATAAGGAGCCAGGAGGGCAGGCAGCCTGGCGCAGTTCTGGCTCACGCTGGGTCTGGGAGATCAGTGCCCTCCCTCATCCTGGACAGAGGCTGCTGCCACCCCAATCTTCCCCCTCTGTATGAGGCAGCAGCGCAGGGTGCCCGACAGCCAGTCCGCGAGGGGAGCTGGTTTTTAAACTGGCTCCCCTCACAGACCAGCTCTCACCTGGCACCCTGCAGTGCAGAATGGCAAGGGGCTCGTTGGGAGTGGTGCCAGATTGCACAGGATGTCAGCCCCACCCACTAGGATCACAGAATAGTTGAGTAACCGATAAGAATTCATGAGGTTAATTGACTATTCAATTAATTGATATTTAACATCCCTATTACCAAGGGCTCTACATATTTACATGCACTTAATCAAAACATTTCCAAGAAGGCCTTAGCTCCAGTGTATTTATGTTCATAAATAAAAGTGATGAACAGTTTACTCATGGGGAAAAAATGGTTGAATTATTGAAGATGCTGAAACAATTCTACTAAGAAGGTAAATTTGTTTTGAGACTTGTTTTTCACGTAATCAATCAGTACTAGTGAGACAACATCTTTTACTGGACCAACTTTCATGGGGGAGACAGATGAGTTTTCAAGCTTACACAGCTCTTTTTCAATTCAATTCTAGATTTTTAAGATGATTTATTAACAATAATGTTACCTCCTTAACTTGCTTGAAAATGCAGACAAATTCTTCATTTATGGCTAAGCTACGACGCTCAATGTCTCCACGCAAGTTTCTTCTGGTACGCAAACTGTTTTCAACAAAAAAGGTTGAAAGAGCCTTGAGAGCTTCCAGCATTTCCTGTACAATATAAAAAAATAACTAAAACTTCTTTTCTGACATACAAGACACTAATGTGTATTCTTTAATCGGTTAGACCATTACTTTTTTTCTTTCCAAATTCTAATATCATGTGATGCATGACTGTGCCAGTCACAAATCAAAATTTAGATTAACACTGGGGATTTGAAAGTAACTGTCTACATGGTAAACCCATGAGTCTGGGCTCATCAGTTACAACACACAGTTACACAAAGTGCCCCAGCTCCCCCAACGCTGCTGCCTTTGTCTCTTTTAAGACAGCTCCCCGCACACACCAGCTTCTGGAGAACCAACTGCCCCCACTGAATGTAACCACTGAAAAAAGAAATCAATAGTTACATGTTTACTTGAAAAAATAAATTTTAACATCTCCAATTAACACAAATAATTAACTGCAAAGTGTTCTTCAGTGTGTTCTTCAGTTCATTATGGTCCAAAAAGTGTGGATAACACCTGCTGTTAATTTTAAAACAAAATACATAAATTGTAGTGTCCAAGTAATAGTCTTAGAAATGAAGGTTCACACACACATAATGTAGATAGTATTTATTGCAATTCGTATTGCAGTTATGAGATATTACAACTACCTGCTGAATATTGTCTGTTGCAAACTGCTGACCATCCTGCAAGATCTCATTAAAACGAATCTGGACAATACCTCATAACCCATTAGCCCAATTAAAAGGGTAAATGTGTACTTTGAAACATTTGCTTCCATGACTGAAGCTTGTTATAGATTTGTTGGAGGACTTTCAGAAAGAAATCCAGGCGCCATTCTATAAGCTAGAGAACATACTGATATTGTATCCATTCCATCACTATTGCAGGTTTTACCCCCAAAGGACCAGCCATTTAAACCATAGGATGCAGACCTGAGCCTCACCTAGGTTCTTGTACGCCAATGAAAAGACGATGCAGAAGAAAAGAGCAAAGAGTGTAAGTCTGTGCTGGGGGAGACAGCACCATCCCTTCATTCCAACATTAAGCTGCCCCTATTCAGGATCAGTAACCTGCCAGGCCCAGTACAGTGGGTCAGGGTATGAACAGCTGCAGACAGCTGCTTTAGGGCTGTATGAAAGCATCTCAACAAGTTCCAACCACCACACCACGATGGGTACCGAAGTCAGTCCGGAGGGATTCCCCTCTTCCCCGGGATTCTCAGGGGCCACCAAGTGTAACGCATCTCTCTCAGGCACGTGAACCTACTCCCCCTCCCCCAACGCTCTCCTGCTGCCCACTC